TTCAAGCCACTTTAGAGAATAATGGAGTCATCAGTGTGGTTTTATAGCACCTATATATTTACCAGCTGCATTTCCTGAATTTGCTCAAATGGATAATCTTAGTGGCCAAAGCATTTGCTCATAAATGGATGAATTCTTTTAGATAAGATAATGAGCAGCATCTAAAGTCATCATCCTTTTAATTTCTCCTCCTTTCCAAGCACGACAGCTTCCCCGAATTCCAATTTTTTTTTCTCCTGTTGTTTCTAGTAATTAGCATCAATGGCAGAATCAAATCTTGGTTACAGTGGGATTTTAGAGAATCAAATCAAGACGTTATAGCCATTGACATTTGAGCAAGGGTAAATATGGCGGCTGGGTTAACAGTGCAAATGCAAACGGAACAGTCCTGATTGGTGGGCAGGTCAGAGAGCTGTCAAAATCAGTTGGAAGAACACGTGTATGGATCAAACTGTGTGGTCAAAAGAGGTACTTTCTGGGATGGTGACACGAATCAAAGTATTTGATTGCACCCCATGTGCATTCCCTTGCCACGAAATCAGTCTTTGTCACCCTCTTATCTAAACACCCTTTTTTTTAATGGTCTTTTCACCATGACTTAAATGGCTCGGGTTTGAGCCACGTTTGCTTTCCTCCACCAATCGGCTCTCATCAGAATTACCTCGTCGTTGTGGAACACTGTAACTTTCTCAGATCATTTTTTGCTTCAGTTTAAGTAATCTTTGTGTCAGACGAGGAAAAACACAACGCAATTCAACTGGTTTTCTTTTAGGATTAACAACTTGCAGTTCTTTTTTTATTGTCTTGTTTGTATTCACATGATCTTATCTTGTTGATTTCTAGGTGTATCTGTTTGCGTCTCTAGGTCAAAATAGGAACTCATCACCTCAATGCATGCGTCGATTAATAATATTGAACGTATGGGTGAAACCAAAGATGTTGGGAGGGAGAATTTTTCATGGAGTGCTAACCATTAGCAAGTCCACTACTCTAAAAATCTCAATCAATCTCCATCAGAAAATCATTATGGATAAGAAAACAATATATCTTTTCTATCTGGAGACCATTGGCAGACTGCCTTGCACTCTTTGCATTCAGCCTTTCGTAAAAAGTTGAAGCAGCTTTTAGCCACACCCAGCCAACCAACTTGCTCCTCGTGCCTTTTAGCCCTCTAGTCCTTGGATAACACCCTGCTTGGATTCTGACCTGTGGATAAACGACCTTTGCAACTGATTTGATGCAACTAAACCACCATGAAAAAAAACAGAAAAAACTTTGCTTTTGATGTCTCCTAAAGTCCCTTCATTTTTTTCATCTCATCTGGTTCAAATCAAGATTTTTTTTTTCTTGATATGATAGTATGAAACTTTTTCAAGGCACAGAGACAAAGTCGTCGTGTCATTCTTGTGTCCACTTGAATATTCCCCGGAAAGTTTTAGTCAATAGCTAGTCATGGCAGGTTATGCAACCTATAACAAACCAAGCAAGTCATATCTGCATTTGTAAAAGTAAAGAACAAGATGGATTATTTTAAGAAAATAAATTTCTTAGGTTGTTTGGGAATGCAGAAATCAAGGGCAAAAGTCTGCAACTTTTTTTCGCCCCATTGTTCACTTAATCCTAAAAAGGTGCCTCGATGATAAAGGGATAACAAAATGAGGCAGATATTATTTGTCAAAATGCTTCTCTGGTCATGTTTAGGGATGGGAGTCCAATCCCTCTTCAGCATATTCTTATCTAATTTGATTTGATTTTTTAAGATTAATTTTTTAAAAATCAAATTTTAAGTTAAATAAAATTAAATCAATTAATAAAAAAAAATCAAGATCAAATTTTAAGTAAATTTATATGACTTGATATACATAATTATTTATTTATATTTATATTCATTTAATTTTATATTTATATTAAAAAATAATATTTTATTAATTTCAAGTTAGATTGAATCGAGATTGATTTTATACAATATCATATCAAGTATTAAAAAAAAATTATCAAATTGACTATGAGTATTATAAGTATAAAATCAGATCAGATTCGAAGCGAATAAAAATCTTAACTTGGCCTGTTGCCATCTATAGTCATGTTTCAGTTCTTCATTTCTTTCATCCTTTTATCTTTGTGATTTTTTTATGTAGCATTAAAAGACTTACATATAAATGATACATTTTAACGGTGACTGTATAAATCAGTTAAATTAAATTAATAATTGATTTCGATTAAAGCCTTTGATTTTTAAATATGATCATTTTAATCTCTACAAAATAGATTTTTCTAAGTTGTAAGATAGTAAATTTTAATAACATTAATCCCTAAAATTTTATTTTGAAATATTCATTAATACTTAAGTTAATAACAATACAAATGTGTCATAGGAAATTTTTATTCCACAAATTCATGTCAGAATGTGTTATTTTGAAGATAATTCCTAACTGTTCGAATATTTCTCTTTTACCTTTTGTATATGAAGGTTTTTTAATATTTTTATTTCTATTATATTTATATAGAGATTATATTTGTTATATTGTCAGTATATAAATTTTATATGTTGTCAATAAAGTAGATGATACCATTTTATTAATAAATAAATATCAATTCTTAAAATAAATATATAAAAAATATATTTTTTTAAAATTTTTATTAATAAGATAACATAATCTAATTCACTAATAATATATAAAATTAATATACTGATAGTACATCAAATATAAATTTTATATACATATTTATATATAAAATGTACTCGCATACTATATGCATAAATGCACTCACATTTATTCATTTTTATGTTTGAAAAATCATTCCTTTATTTGAGGTGAAGTACTCATGTATATGGTAAGTTAATTATTTGCATACCAAAGTTTTCCATGCAAATTTATGGCTTTTTGAAATAATGCACGTGACCTTGTGTGTGTGTGTATATATATATATATAATATATATATATATTAACTTCAAAATGTTTTATGTATTTTTATGTTTCGTACCATATTTTTTTTGTACATAATTTGTATAGTTGGAAAAACATAATATTGGAAGTTTAGTTTTAAATGGTCACTTGTTAATTATTTCTTTTTTAAGTTATGATACCAAAATTGGGAGGTTTAATTAGATTTTAAGTTGAAAATAAAAAATTACTCCTTTAATTAGTTGTCATATCCATTTTAAAAGTATATATGAGGAGTGATTTACTTATATTAGTATAAGTATTAGACTTTTTTTTAAAATCAAAATTATTAAATTTAAAAATATTATTTTGATTCAAATGAATCATGAATTTAATTTTAATTAAAAAATTCAAAAAAAATGTAATACTTACATTTCTCTTCTTCTAACATATACATATATATCTTTAATTTGTTTTTAGTTACAAAATTATCATCCATCCCCCTATTTTTTCTCTTAAAATCTATTGGTTCCAAAGTTTGGCTAAACTGAATTGTCGGAAGTGTAACAAACATTTTTTTTTATTTTTTAAAGATATTTTTAGATTACGGCTAAAGATTTTAACTCGATAAGGAAAATATAATTTAATATTTTAAAATATAATACGATGATATAATATAAAAATAAAAAAAAATGATACAATTTAAAATTTTAATAATAATTTTATATAAATTTAATAAAACAAAAAAATTATATTTTCGTATCGACATAAATTATAACACATAATATTTATATATTTATATAATATGAATACGTTTAATATCATATATCCATATATCCAAATTTAGAAACCACGGTGTTATATCATGGGAATGCACTGTAATAAAATACCACTTCCCCCAGCTTTAGTTGATAAACAAGACGTCAACAATGACGACATATCTGGCCACCTTAAAAGATTAATTTCCCCAACAACCTTAATGTCTTTCCCAATTTAAGATTAATAAAAGACTGAGGTTCTTCCACGCAGCTGCATTTTTCTTAACTATAAATGAAGTACTAATTTACTGTTAGTAACAACAGTTTTCACTCGTCTCGAGCCACGAATGAGCTATGGTTAAAAGTTAAAATCCATGGGGTATTGGCTAAAGCCGAATGGCTTGGCTAATAGTAGACATGGAAATAGGTGAAATACTATTACTATCTTATTCGACAACAATGGTGACTTGCAATGTACAAATCCAGAGGCCAACCATAGCTCATTGTTTATTGACTTCAAAGTGTTCAGGTTTGGGATCCTGTTTAAATTTTACTAACTAAATAGTGTATTTGTTCCTTGCCCGTCACCACCACAGTCACCCTTACCTATTCTCTTAATTACCTAATTAGGAAAGCCTAATCCAAAACCTAGCTAGTTTCATTAGAGGATTCACAATTAATAAGACTCTCATAGAACTTAAAAAAAAAAAAAAAGAAAGAAATGGAATTAGAAAAACATAGATTTCATAGTATATGATTTTTTTATACAAAAGATCGTAATTTTAAAATAAAAAAATTATATACATTGAAATTAAAATTTTAAATTAAATAATTATATAAATTAATTGAGTTATATTTTAAAATTATAATATATTATTTTTTTAATTCAATTGTGTATTTGATTTAATGACGTACGTATATTTTTTATTCAAAATCAAAAAGTGGATTTCAAATTTTTTTCAAATAAAAAAATAAAACTATTCATTATCTTCATTTACTTCGCCATACACCATTGATCATGTGAGATATTGAGGACTACATCTTGCCACCTTTTTATTGGAATCCATATAGTGAACATTTTGGGATTTTGTTGCCAATTGGGGGCCAAAATATGGTTGACATAATTTTACCAGATAACTATAACTGGAAGCTCCTCACCTACATTTTTTTTTTTTTTGGACTAGGGGAGAGGGTTTAAATGTAACTAACAAAATTGTACCATATATATATATATTAACTTAGTCATGTGGTAGCTAGTTCAATCTTTTGTCTAGAATTAATATACTAATTTCTAACATACAACAATGGCACTGTTGTTATTCATAAGACAATGAAGTCCAATCTTTGATAGGATATACTCCCAAGGTAGACAATCAGGTGCTTAACTCCTACTCAACTCTATAAATAAACAACAACGTTACTTCCCAACACATCCAACTTCTCTAGCGGATCAGATCAGCCATTACTAAATAAATTTAAGAGAGAGAGAGAAAGTCAGTGAATTTATCAAAGGATGACAACCCAAATGAATGAGCTTCAAGATCATATGGCTCTTATCTCCCAAATGTACCCTGGTGTATACACCCAAATTGTACCACAGCAAGGTGATTTAATTTGTGTGGTGAAACTTACGATAAAACATACTGTAATTCTTTTCCATTTTTAAGTCTTGCTTGATTAACCCAAGCTTGTTGATGATATGATGATGAGCAGGGGAATCAAAGCCTCGACGGCGGCGGAAGAAGAACAAGGGAGGGGAAAACGGCCTGGCAGGGATTAAAAAAAGGAAGCTTAGCCAGGAACAAGTTAATCTTCTTGAACTTAATTTTGGTAATGAACATAAGCTCGAGTCTGAAAGGAAAGACAGACTTGCTTTGGAGCTGGGACTTGACCCTCGTCAGGTAGCTGTCTGGTTCCAAAACCGAAGAGCTCGCTGGAAGAACAAGAAGCTTGAGGAGGAGTATAGCAAGTTGAAGTCTGTCCATGAAGGCGTTGTTCTTGAGAAATGCCACCTTGAATCCGAAGTATGTATCTATCTCTTTCTCTCTTCCATACATTTTACAAAGAACAACAGTTCATATTCATGCAAACCCTTTTCTCTTTTAAAGTTTTCTTAATTATCTTTTAGATTTTTATCATTTTCTTTCTGGTTTCTTAGCAACCAAACAGAAGCTAATGATACAATCAGGCTGTTCTCTTCTGCACTTTTTTTCTCAGTGTCTGACGGGGTCGACATACAGGTTTTAGTTTTTTCTTGAACATTAAATTATTATTTTTTTTAAAGGATGATGGGAGCTTAGTTCCGTAATTTATGAACAATTTTCAAAGATTAATCGATTAACAAAATAATGAAGAGCTTTGGTTTGAAGGAAATCAAGCCAATTAAGCAAGTGCCTATCCCTTTAATCTTTATCCTTGTGATAAATACAAGGTGACCCACCATACAATGAGCTCTGGGCTCGAAGAAAGCCATGCCATGCTGTTGGGTTAGAGCATTAGAAAAGTTTTAAAGTACCTTGGACGAAAATTGACTAAAAACATTGACAAGGAACAGCAAACTGCCACCTCATTACACAACAAAAAGTACTTAAAATTTTGCAATCAAGACAATGTCCGTACGGTCTGGTTTAAGGTGCCTGTTGTTGGGCTTAACCAAGGCCCACTTAGGGAACAGCAAATTGGATTCTTCCCACGTGGGAAACTGCTCACTTTGTACTACATTATTTTACAAGGAAAGATGAACAAGAACAGTTTTTTATTAGACATAAAAATTTATAAATTTTTTTAACTTACTTGTAGGTTCTAAAGCTTAAGGAGCAACTTTGTGAGGCAGAGAAGGAAATCCAACGGCTGGGGGAGCGAGTGGATGGGGTTTCCATTAATAGCCCAAGCTCATCTCTGTCAATGGAAGCCATTGATCCACCTTTTCTAGGGGAGTTTGGAGTAGGATATGATCAAGATGTTTTCTACATAGGAGAAAACAGTTATATTCATGGCATGGAGTGGATGAATCTGTACATGTAATTGAACTAAGTAAGTTAGTACATTTAGTATGTGTAAATAATTATGACAACTACTGTAAATTAATCCTTAATTTTATCTCCCATGTTGTGTTCTAATGTTAACAAGAACATGAAATTTAGAAATGTTATTAACTACTACCAAATAACATAGTTTTTTGATGGGGATGATTGAGTGAAGGAGATAAAGTCAACTGTTTTTGAATAATGTTATAATTTTTTATTTAATAACTATAAGATGTCAATCCCATTGGCCACAAACTTTGTCTCATAACAATATAAGACTTTATAAATTCAGAGTTTAACTCAATAATTTATGTAATTATTTTTAAAAGATAATATCTAATAAATTTAAAATTTAAATATCAATGATCTATTTTTTTGTCTTTAAATTGTAATTTCTTTCATAAAAAAAAAAAACCCTTGTCATTTTTGGTTTAAGAAAGAGTAAATCCGTGTACTAATCCAAGAAGAATTTAGGGTTTTTTTTTTCTTTATTTGTTTGGAAAAGAAAACCGAGTCCCGAGCCAAATGCTCGAATGTTTTTTAGGATGTTTTAATAAAGCAAAAAGTGAAAATATTTTTCCAGCAATGCAATGCACCAAAATCCTCTGTCAGAATATATTTGGGTTGTATATTCTACAATGACAAAGAGGATTTTAAGACATTGATCTCCACCACAAAGTATGGAACATTAATTCCCCCTCACCATCATATATCCCAAGTCCCAACCTACACAAAGCCTACACCAAAAGGAAACAGATAAAACAATAACGTTTATAGCAAGATTATGACGAAGACAAAGATTGCGATGATGGTTTGTTTGCTGATACAAGGAAAGAAAAACTATATTGGAAAGTAATAAGGAATCTTTAAAATGAAAGGAACAAATCAAATCAAAGGATAATAGATAAAACGATAATGATCTTCACACAGTACTCTTGGCCTCTTAGGCCATGTCAACCAACAAGGGACAATAAAATTATTCATATTCATGAGGAAAACGGGACACCAAGGTGTTTGCTTGCGTGACACAAGAGAATGTTTTGCAGTTTATGGTAGCAGGTCAAAGCCAAGATGCATGGCCATGAAAACCATCTAGTGGTCTTGGCCATTGTCACTTGCTGGCATACATATAAAATTTTTTTTTTGGTCCGAATATTTGATTCAATTGTTTATGTATGTTTCTATATTCTTTGAATTGGATTCAAATCTCTCAATTTTTAAATATAAATTTTTTTGAGGTCTTTAATTTCATGTAACATTTATATAACATAACTAGTTTTATTTGAGGTAAAAATCATTAGAGGTATTCATTCTATCGATTTGATTAATTTTGACTCGAATTATTTAAAATTATATTATTTTATTTTATTTTCGTTCACTGAACTGAATTTATAAAATTTTAAAAATTAACCGATCAAATTTAATTTGATTGGTTTTGTTAAATTTTTTTATTAACAGAATAATAAATATATTTAAGTTAAATTAAATTATAAAATCTTAATTTCTCATATTTTAAACAAATTGAATAAAATTATCTAACAAAATATTCAAATACTAATATATTACTTTAAAAACTCTAACAACTTATGAAATTACATGATCCATTTCATATATTTTTTATTTTATATTTGGATTATATTATATTTCAATTAATTTAGTTTTCGAATTTAATTAGTCAAAAAACAAAAAAAAAATTTTTAATTTTTTTGTTAACCGATTGTAATTAATTTGGTAATCGACCTATGAACTAAATTAAATCAGTTTCATAGGTTAATTCGATTAAAATCGAATTATGAGCACTCTTAGAAATCATTGAATTTTTTTTTTTTTATAGATTTGGATATTGGAGATATGAAAGATATATATAGCTTTTATAAACAAATATTATGTTAGTAAAAGAAAAGCAGAAGGTACATAAGGTAGTGTGTCTGTTTGTTGATAAAAGGAAAGACAAAAGATAATGGAGAAACAAGGAATAGTGTTTACAATAAAAGCATAAAATCAAAGGATTAATTGATAAGGATCGATGATGATCTTCGACTCACTCTTTTAGACAATCGATCCACCTTTGTCTACCAACGAGAGGCTTGCGTGACAGACCAGGATTTGCCGCTTCAGGTTGCTGGTCAAGCTGAAATGGCCACGGAAACTAGATGTAGAATTCATAGGACATCGTGATGTAGGGCATGATCCCTTGTTTTGGACCCAAGGCTGAAATTTTAGCTAGCGACCCAGTCGGCTAGGACCAGCCTTGAGAAGAGCTAAACAAAACAGCCCAGTTCAGTCTCTTTATCTTTACTAGCCCGTTTCAGTTCAAAGAACCTGGTTTTGGTCCCTGGTTAAATCGGTACAAAGCCATGGCCCGTCAAGAACAACCCACGTCCGGTTCAATTAAAGATAAAAGCATCAAATCCAAGCAGATTCCGGTCTTTAATTGAGGATTTCCACGGACAAAATAAATGGACAATATTCGGTCAAAAAAATACAAGTGGATAATATATTTAAATAGATTAGTTATATAATAATAATTTTATTTTATAAAAATTTAAAAAATATATACTTCAATTTGATTTGATTTAAATTTTTTAATTTTTATTTAAAATTTAATTTAAATTTAATTGGAATTAAATAAAAAAATCAATTCAAACCACGAATTAGTTCTTTTTTCGCCTCTAAGTCTAAATAGATAATAACTCTAAGAAAAAAAAAAAAACCCAAAAGAGAGAGAGAGAGAGAGAGAAACGCCGTCGTTTGAGACAAAATTTCATTTTCTTCGTTTAAACACTTTGACTCCGTGTCATAACGTTGAATTATCCGTTCAGATGATATGTCATAAACCTAATCCAGTTATCCATTCCCAGCTGTCTTCCCCTACCATTCGCACGTGTCACCTGCCAAACCCTAACCCCTTTTCCTCTTTTGATATCTTTCCTTTCCCTCCCCTTTCTCCCCTTCCCTCTTTCCATTCCATCCTTATCCGTGGACTCACTTTATGCACAACAGCAACGCACCCGACCACACTGGATCAGATCTTTGTTCTCCTTTTAAGACAACAACGACAACAGCTGCTCCTAACAGCTACAATAGAAACAAGAGTTTCCTCTCTTAATTTGTACTTCAAAAATCCGTACGTGTGTTTTGTTTTTTTCTTCTTGAGCCTTACGTGGTTATCTTTCTATCCTTAATTCTCAGCCGTTAGATCATTATTTTCTTTTTTAAGTGTTCCACTTGGACTTCCACCTCACTTCTCCCTTCAGCACCACGAAAACAGGTCCTTTTTTTTTTTTTTTCTCTTTTCTTTCCTATTTTTACTTCTTGAAATTTGTTTTTACCTGTAATTTAAAATCATTTAGTTCTTTATACCATTAAGAAATTGGTTTCATGATCTTTTGAGCTTTGCTTCTGTTTGACTACAGGGAATCCCTGTGGGTTAAGGCTCCTAATCTTTGGATAAGATAGTTCTTTACCATATTTATGGTAATAATAAATTGATTTATGGTCTTTTTTCTAACATGACTGGGAAGGAGGTGGATGGATTCCAGCTGTAAGACGTCTATTGCTGGTCAACGTTAGGTTTTTACTATAATCTATAATGGAAGGATAAGAGGGTTAAATGTTGACAACCTTTATCTTTCGGCTCCTAAAAACAGTTACTGCCAAGTTATGGTGGTTTTTTTTTTTTCCCTTCTAATGTTTGGTTAATTTAACAACAGTTGAAAGAGTTGAATGTTTTCTAGGAAACAAATTGGAAAGAACGAATATTGTGTTTTTTTTTTAAGGTAATTTTTGGAATTCAAGAATTGATGTCAGATAACATGGTGCTTTCCTCTGACTTCTTCAGTTGTTAGGACAGGATGGATGTTCCATTTTATGTTGGTTTTATGGAAGATCAGATTGTTTTGTTTTGTAGTTTATGGTGTTATGGTGTTGGTAAGCTTTCAGTTGTATTATCTTTCTTTTTTGAAGTCGTTTCATGGTAATATGCTGATATTGAAATTTGCATGGATTTATGTTCCATGAATCATGTTTTGGCTTGTAAAATACAAAAACCTTGTGAAGGCTCGGATGTGATAACATTTATCTGATTCTGCATATTCCAAATAGCAAGCAATAGTTTATTGTTTGTTTTTTCCCTTGTTAGCCGTGACATTGGTAAGTAATTCTCTTTTGACCTCTCATTTCTGACATACGTGGTTGCTTGGTATCGGGTTCTCAGGTGCTTCATAGAAGTCATTAAGGATATACAAATTTGATTCTAAATTAGTTGAATAAAGAGGTTTACCAAAGTTATTATGGGAACTGAAGAGGAGAGCACCCCTGCCAAGCCTTCCAAATCTGCAGCCTCAACTCAGGTTTATCATAGTTGCCTCCTCCCCACCCGAAGAAAACAAAAAATGTGCCCATATCATTCTTGTTCTCTCATCACTAACATGCGGATGAGTTTTACCGATTTTTCTACTTTGTACTTGTAGGAAGTACTAAAAACACCATCATATCCTGATTGGACAAACCCGATGCAGGTTTGTATAGCACATAAACCATAGGGTTTGATTCTTGTTTATGAAATTCTTAAAAAGTCGTTACCATGTAAGTAATTTTTTGAGCTTACAACTCAGCTTATTGTTTAGGCTTATTATGGAGCTGGAGCTACTCCACCGCCCTTTTTTGCCTCAACTGTTGCTTCTCCAACTCCTCATCCATATATCTGGGGAGGCCAGGTGATATTGCTTTTGAAATCACCATTATGCAACAGTCTATTTCTTTCAATTTTTTATCATAACATTGTTCTTACTTTCTCTTCTGTTGATAATCTTTCAGCATCCTTTAATGCCTCCATATGGCACCCCAGTTCCATTCCCAGCTATATATCCTCCTGGGGGAGTCTATGCACATCCTAATATTGCCACGGTAATATTAGTGTGTGTGTGTGTTTGTATTTCCTTTTGATTCCTAGTTATTCACTAAATAAAAGTTTGGCACAGAATAATGCTGATCATGAGGGCAAGGGTGCTGATGGAAAGGATAGAGGTGCCACCAAAAAATCGAAGGGAACTTCGGGAAGCAAGGTTGGAGAGAGTGGAAAGGCAGCTTCAGGCTCTGGAAATGATGGTCGCTCTCAATGGTGCAGTAGCCATTTGATGTTTCAACCTTTTCTCTAACACAATTGTACATTTATTCTCAACATTGGGTTTTGGTTAAAAGATTTCTTAAATTTCATGCGTACCTCTATTAATTGTAAGTTCTTTCTTAACAGCAGTGAAAGCGGCAGTGAGGGTACATCAGATGGAAGTGATGAGAATAATCAACAAGTATGTTTGTAATTACCATTATTTGATTATAATCAAGGGCATTGACTACTTTAGAAATTCAGTTTCCCTCGTCAACATGGTTTACTGGCTAGCATGTTATTACGATGAATTGTCCTTTCTAACGAATATGTGCCTTTTTCTCTTCAGGAACCTGCTGCTGATAAAAAGAGCTTTGGTCAGATGCTTGCAGATGGTATGTTAAGTTTCTGTATGAATTTCTGCTTTTATAGTAGGATAAATCACAAAAACGAGCTTCAGGTTATTTTGAAAATAAAGGGTTTCTCTCTATGATCTCAGAGCACAAACTTACTCCCTGGAGATATTATAAAATCGGGAGTGGGGAAAGTGTTGTGAGGAACTATGTGTATGAAAATAGGAAAAAAAAAAAAGAGTTGCTAAGTGTACTTCTTGTAATAAACTTAGAGTTGATTTTGTTGATTTGTATACCGTGATAAGTTTCTTATTTCAAATAGCTCTTGTTACCAGCCAATGCACAGAATAATACCACTGGGGCTTTAGTTCCTGGGAAACCCGTAGTCTCTATGCCTGCAGCTACTGTGAATATAGGGATGGACCTATGGAGTGGATGCCCTGCTGCCACAGGAGCTGCAAAAATGAGACCCAACTCATCTGGTGCTGTAGCCACAGTTCCTGCTGGAGGTGTGATGCCTGACCAGTGGATTCAAGTATGAGCTTTAGTTGGTGGTTTTTGTTTCTTATTTTGCATGTTTATTCATTACTATTTACTCCATTTCTAGTCCAATATTCTGCTCCTCAATTGTTAAAACCTGCCCTAGTTCTTAAGGTCTAACTTTATTTGCTCCCTTTTACATCCTTTAAGCGGCTAGAGCATTTTGGATGTGACTTACTTCTGCATTTTGGCTTTCGATATCATATACTTCTGCTATTTGGTGTTTTTAACTAAATTGGCGCTCTGGGTTCTTGCAGGATGAACGCGAGTTGAAAAGACAGAAGAGGAAACAGTCTAATAGGGAGTCTGCTAGAAGATCAAGATTACGCAAGCAGGTCGGCTGGATATTGGCATTCGTCAACAAATGGTTCTAGAACTTATTTCTATATTTTATGAAGTATTATACAGCTTTGGCTTAAGATACGTCGCTTGTATTGGTGTTACCATAGGCGGATTGTGAAGAGCTACAAGCCAGGGTGGAGAACTTGGCGAATGAAAACCGCAACCTTAGAGAGGAACTAAAGAAGCTTTCTGATGAATGTGAGAAGCTTACATCAGAAAATAGTTCTATTAAGGTATGGAAAGGCTACCCTCTTTCACCCGACACTTTACCTGAGATATTTTCATTTTATCAATGCTCATCTATCTTTGTTCCTTGGTTACATGCTTCCTCGCTACTATTATCTACTCAATGGAGGGAGAGTGAAACCTCACAGATCAGTAAACACTAGTACCAGTATCATTTATTGAATATGTTGCAAACCTGCTATTGTCACAGGCTGAGAACTTAAGCCTGAACTTAAGCCTAGCTGCCGTGCTATACGTGGATCATGACACTATCACTTCTTCCTTGTGCGTAGTTTTGAATTTATTATCTACAAATATGATTTGCTTCTTATATAACAGGATGAGTTGATGCGGTAACTAACCTCAAGCATGACAACCCCTCTTCGATTCTCAAGTGACGAGGTGGTGAGGGGAATTCTTAGGAAGGAAACCTACCGGATAACTTGCAGCCAGTGCAGTAATTTCTTAGTATCCAGCCAGGGCATTAGTTTTCCATACAAATCTATGCCTTTAACCCTTTATAACTGTAATATGTATATCACACGCACAAAGTTTTAACCAGAGTTCAAATTGTTGTATTGTAGTTGATTGGGAGACAGGAAGAGTGATTCAACCACTATTCAGATTTTGACCACATTTGGATGTTAGTGTTTTTATTTAAAATAGAAATAAACTTTGTCTATGTTGCCATGTAACGATTAATGTGAGAAGCCGGCATCAGAAATGGGGAAAATGAGATCAAATTTTTATTATAAGAATGCTGCCTGCCTACACCCCAAAAGAAGCAGCAATCATGCTGCCTGTCTCACATTAAAGGCCAAATCTATAACATAAAAACACTACCCCAGGTAAAACATGGTACTAACCTACAGCTCTCTCCTTTGGGAAAGAGAAACTAAAAGTCAGTCGTGATCAGACTCTGGATTTGAGATGATTCTTGTTCGTCAGTCATGATCAGATTCTGGATTTGAGATCATTCTTGTTTGGCCACTGATTGCACGTAGCCCCTTTGGTTCACTCACCTTTGGGCGTGCTAGCCCAATAACAATAAGTTTTAGCATGATACAGAGGAAAGTAGGGAAAGAAGCAAATAAGCTAGTAGTTTTAAGTGGTATTATGCTCACCGGATCCTCTAATCTTCTTGAGCATTGTCCTAACAAATTGATACTCTTCTGGGCGCGTGCTGATGAATCTTGCCTGCATATGGAGAAGTGCAGAAAATCTCTTCACATCCACATCTTGTTTATAAATTGGAAGGTGACATAGGAATTGGAACCAAACGCGGATACCAAAGAAAGAGCCATGTCAAAATATAACCTAATAAGGCGGGTTACATACCATTTCAGCACATGCAAAGCCCATAAGTTGATCAACTCCAGCTTGATGTTTCAACAAGAAAGGACGCAGGTGGTTCTTGTATATTTGCTTAGCCCCCTGTTTAAAGCAATTTCATACTATGAATAATGCCCACCTAAATTAAAATATAATACAGACAAAGGTATCAAAAAGAAAAACACAAGCAGAAAAGTAATTAGAAACAAAATAAGTAATAAATGCAATTAAACAGAGGCAGAAAAACAACATAGAAGATAAATAAATAAATAAAACAAAAGAAATAAACATCTCAGCACCTCATTTACCCTGGCTTTCGGAATAAATGAACATTCAAACATGATTTTGAACTTACTTCAGTAGATGGAAGTTGAAGCCACACAAGAAATGCAAACTTGAAGTGATAATAATATGGAAACCTGTGAGATGCGAATAAATATTGAATAATGTAGCAAGTCATGTAAAATGATGCATAATGGAATATCAGACAGTTTACGCACATAAATATGTTACCAGGAAAGAAGTTTGTCAGAGAATGCTTCAACAAGGGTGAAAGATCCATAAGCTGCAATAATGAGAAGTTCATGTACATCCAGATTTTCATTCAAATCAATAATAATTCATTGATATAATTCATAAAATTCACCACATCAACATGACACAAAAGTCGAAAAAGAAAACAAGCAAAAGAAAAACCAAATGCAGTAAGCAAACCTTGAGTTATTACCCATCAAAATCCTAATGATTACTTCTACTCTTTTTGTTAGTTAATGTTGTCTCTTTTTACAGCTTGTGTCTTCATTTTTATTCCAAAGTGTGTTATTCATTTATTATATGAATTTGTTATTAGCTGCCCCCTCTTCCTTATGAATTATAAAATGAAAAGAGGTAAGAAAGAGTCACACCAGCCCTTTATATGCATTTCCTAACAAAAAATGGCGCCTGATCCATAGAAAACAATGGGAGGTCAATGGAAGCAATGCACAACCATTTATTGCTACCCAACTAAATTAAATTATCTTAACAAAGAACCCTTTAGGATTCAAGTTTACAAAAAAGAATTGAAAGAAGGTTTTGACTTGTATTGGCAAAAAAACAGCAGTATAGAAAACAACGAACTTCCATTTTCTTTAAGAAAATGGAAGATGAGATGAATATTCCTACAGTATAGGGAAGATGGTTAAAGTTCAAAAATTAAACAAAACGGTGACGATTGCAAATTAACAGAGAAAAATTAAATAACAATTTGCCAACCTGCCCAATATGTAAGCCACTTTTGCTGCTCATTTGCATCATTCCTTTCGATTGCCCTAAATGTAGAATATACAGGTAAAACAATTCCCACAGAACAGCTGCAACAGACACAGAGACGCACACAAAAAGAGTTCAGATTGAAATCCACAAAGGGTGATTTCAGTTAATGCTGGAGTTTAAATTCAATATTTCTTCGCATATTAACAGAAAAAATCAGGAAACATATCAAGCAAGACAATAAGAGACAAGCAGTAGATTCAAATAAAACACACCATGCTGCACGTGTAACAATGTTGGAACCAAGTGGGCAGAGGAGCAACCGTAGCCCAACCTACATTACATGGTATGCAAATGATTCAGAAGCAAGGTAACAAGCATCAAAACTCAACACTATAGTTTAAACCAAATAATAAAAACATATACATCTTTCTATAAAATATAAATTCCAAAAGAAAATTGTACAAAAACAATGAGCATGATCTAGGCAAAGAAATGAAATTTATTGCATTCTCTAACTTAAGCAAACATGGATAATCCACAAAAGGAAAAAGGAAGAAGCAAGATATTATTATTGCTTCTAAATATCTCAAATTTTCTAAATTAACTCAAAGAGTAATAAACATCAAAAAGTTATTTCTACTTTAATCCAAGAATAAGTGATTTCAATGCTGATTTTCAAATAAACAAAAAAATTAGATATGATAATTTAAAAGATGACACGGTAACATAATTAAAACACGATATGAAAAATCGAAATGAAGGTGACATGATTTAAAATTTTAATAATAGTTATATAGATTTAACAAAACAAAAATATATATATTTCATGTTTTTATATTAACACGAATTATAACAAACAATTTTCATGTAAAACAGATACAAATATATGAATTTCACTATTTTACACCAATCACCGAGTCTACAAAAAATTAATCAGTTTATAATCTGATAATTGATGTTAGATTTTGCTAATGGTTTGGAGGGAAATTAAATCAGATTTAAACCGAATCTCAACTAGAATATAAATCGCTGTATAGGTAAACAGATCCAAAAGAGTGATCAAACGAAATATAGTAAACAAATGAAAGGGGAAGAAACCGAGAAAATAAGATGAAAAGAGAAGATGGCTTCGAACCTCGCTGGTTACATTGGATCCGAGAAAAGCCATTCCAGGATTGTGCGGAGAGAACCCAAACTAACCACTGTTTTTAACATTTTAATTACCGCTAAAAGTTTCTTTTGTGCTTTTGCGGGGTTACGGAGTTTTCGAATGGAAATATCCAAACGATGTCGTCTGGTGAATCCCATGTTTCCGTCTGGCTTTATTTTATTCATGATTGGGCCACAACGGGGCAGATTCAAATCGGATTAAGATAATACATAAAAAAATTTAGGAGAAACAAATAATAGAAATAACAATAAAAAAAATTTATATTTTTTTATGACACAAATTATAATAATAATTTTATATAAAATATAATATAAATATATATATTTTAATATTTTATATAATATAAATATACAAATTATCAAATATTTATTTTTAAAATTAATCAAAATAACTCCTGATGCTTGGATGTATATACTTAATTCTTTAAAAACTAAATGATGGAATAAAATTGTAATTAATTAAGTTTGAGTATATAACTTATAAATCAGGATATATTTTGGGAAGAAATTTTTTAATGAACTTACATGTATTTATATTAATAATTATAAAAAACAAAAAATAATAGAATTTGATTTCATTACTGGGGATTGCCCCCTGGGATTCACAAGTTTTTGGTACAAAGTCTTGTTTGAAGATTCATATTATATAATTCTGGATAACTGGATAAGAAAAAACTAGTCTACCTAAAGCTTAAGGTACCCCCAGCTCTTTCAAAATAGCTACACCAAATTAGACCATAAAAATATCCAAACACAGAAAAAAAATAAATTGGATTGGGATACAGATAATTACGTCCCGAATCAAGCCTCTCCTCCTAATCCTATATCCACTTCCAAGCTGACGTGGCAACCAGGGCACTCTTGCGCCAGCAAAGCACCAATTGGGCCTGTCTTTTCGCCACCTGGAATCCCTGAACCGGCATCTTCCCTAACAAGCACTCAGCTTGAAAATCCGCAAACTGACTCAAATGCACCGCCCTCATTCCCGCTCCATAAAACACCTCCCTCCACGGTGGTGCTGTCCTCCGGGCAGCCACCTCCACCGCCGCCAATATCCTTGGCTGCAACAATAACGTCTCAATCTTCCTCACCCATTCCCTACCCGCGACCGCCGCGTCCAACGACTCAAACATCATGGTGTAGAACTCCAAACTGTTCACGAAACTCTTCCGGAATGACGTCGCCCCTGACTCCATCCATACCTCACTATCCACAAAGACAACGACGCTTGGATTAATCCTCCGAAGGTCACTCAAAAACGCCGTGACGTTTAAACTGAGACATCGGAAAATAGACGGAGATAAAAGAATTGCCATTTTTTCTCCTTCCATAAAATTAAAAGCTTTAAAAGACAACATTTCGAAGGTTCGAAGAAGAACAAACTCAATCTGAAACCTTAACTTAAGGTCTTGAGCGAACTGGAAAAGGTTGTCATTGATAAGCCTTGTCTCAATGGCATATTCTTCGGGAACCACGGCAGTTACTCGAATGAACTTGCAAGAATGATCATCTCTTTCAGATATTTCTCTCATTAAAGAAGCGTATTGACTTCCCAGTCCGATATCAAAATCGATGATGTGAATCAACGGTGCTGATCCATCCAGTGCTTCGAGGAGAGCTTGATTGGTCGTGAAGTGAGTGAACATGGGAATAGGGTTGATCCCAGAGAAGGCCTTGTAGGCTTTGATGGTTTGAACGATTTGGCTCCATGAAGATAAACTAGTCGACCGCGTTGACCCGGTTAGTAGAGACTGGAGAGCTTCTTTGAAGTAAAAAGCGGCCCTTTGTAACGGTTTCCCCGAAGGAGATCGTAGCCGCTGATTGAGCCGCGCCAATATCACCTGCGCGAGCTGCAATTCGTGGGTGTCGAAATAATCCGCAGCTCTTATCAGTTCTTCTATAAAATCAAAGCCCAAGTTGAAGTTACCACTATTATGAAAATTACAACTATTAGAACTATCAAGGTAATTATTATTTAGACCCGAATAAAAATCGTAAAGATTGTCTAAATCAGAATGGATGGAGTGTTGAGTCAACTCGCAGGGCGTGAACACGGGGAGGTTTTGGATATGATTTTCGCTGCTGGGACTAATAGCTTGAGGAGGAATAGTTTTGATAGCAGGCACAGATTCGTCATCCAATCCCAAGTCTTTCATGATGGAATCCCAATCCATGTTTCGCAGCACATGCTCCTCCCACTCAAGAGGCGCCTGATGATGATGATGAGGAGGAGGATTCGACACTGATATACAATTAGAAACATCGACAGGATTCGAAACCGGCTTTTCTGGCACCGCCGGACTTGGGTTCCGACGAAGATCAAGAACCGATGTTGGCTCATAGCATGAGGCTGAAACACTGTTAACGAAACTGATGTTCCTGGCTCTAGTAGTACTGTTATCGTTATTGTTAGCTTCTGGGGTCAGAGAATGGTTGTTTTGTGGGGCTGTAACGGGGACTCTCATAGCTTTCAGAGCACAAAAAAGGAAAGAGCTCTGCTTTTGGTTTCTTTGCTTTTCTGCTTCGGAGGTTAATGTTGAAAGTAGGAGAAGAGGATAGTGGGCCGAGGGGGGCTTTTACAGGTTATAATTGCTGGCCTTTTACCTTTGCACGAAGACGGAGGGGTCAATGGGGTGAGGACATGGCATCGATGAGGATGACAATTGACATATATACATGCTCGACACTGGTCAGACCTATCTTCTATCAACTTTGAAGCTTCAAATTCAAGCTTTTGCCCTTTTTTTTTTAGGATTCTCACCCTTCTTTTTTTTTCTTTAAATTCATTAAAATTTTCAATATTGATTAAACATTTATAGACAGGGTAGATGCTGATATTAATTATTGATTAACTATTATCATTTTTATATTATAATGAATTTGAATAATTAATTTTTACTTTTTGATTGTAAGAAAATGTTGATCATTAGACATTGATTTAGGTGATACTTAACTAAAAATTATATAAATAATATAAATTTATATTTGATATCTTATTAATATATAAATTTTATATATTATAAGTAAATTAAATAATATCTTATTAATAAATAAATATCTATCATTAAAATAAATATATAAAAATAATATTTATTAAAAAATTTATTTATTACTAAAATAATATTATTTTATTTATTTTATTCACTGATAATATATTAAATTTATATATTAATAATACATTAAATATAAATTTAATTAATATTAGTTTTATAATTTAGTGAAACTAATATATTAAATATAATTTTTTTAATAATATCTTAAGTTGTAACCATCCTTATTCATGCTTATAGTCGGTTAACCAAACCTTAGATTATATTATCTCTTCTTTGAATAGACATGCAGCCAAACCCCATAGTCACATCAACTAAGAAAGAAGATTTTCATAAAGTAATTTTAAGACTTGGAGAGGCCATTTTAAAAAACAATTAAATTAATTGAACAAAACATCTTGCAATCTTTAATTTTATTTATGAAATTTAAAAATTTTATTATAAATTAATTGATATGTTATTGAAATTTATATTTAAAATTTTAAATCAAATATATAATAAGGTAAAAAAATTTAAGAATAAATTAAAAATTTTTTAAAAAACAATTTATAATATAAACCTAGGAAGAGCAATTTCGTTTTATATATCAATTAGTTGAATAATTAAGTTCTTTCACTTTGTTATTAACCAAAACAAGTACAAATTACATGAATTGTTTACTGGTGAATTTATTTTCAACTTTGTAATTATTAAAAGCCTTCTTTGACTTCCTGACCAGCATGTCTTCATTCAAACAACCAAACCTTTTGGGGCTGCAAGAAGTTAAGATGTTCAAACGTCATTAATTTTCTCGAGAACCAAACAACGTTGGGAAGTTGGGGGAGGCAAGGAACCTCCCCTAGGATAAAATCTCAAATCCAAATTCCTACCATCCACGTATAAGAAAAAAGTGTAGCTCAAGAATTGACATATCGACGTTCACATCGGCAGCAGCCGCCCCATTAAAATAATGCACAAAAGTACATGGAATTCGCTTGTTGACAAGCCAAGTGGCGACGCCAATCAAATTGGAACCCACAAATCGACATGGAACTTTGACGACCAAGATAGGGTCCCACCAGATGTCTTTTTGTCGGATATGCATGGATGTACCCAAAGAACGAAGTCCAAACCTTAAATAGTAGTAATAGTAGAGCATAGAAACCATGCTTACGCAGGACAGCTTAGGCTTTTTGACGGCGAGAGAGAGAAAGACAGAAGGGAATATGTTCCGATTGATGGTGGTGCGTTTCCCCGATTGATAAGTCTCTATCCGTCCATTTACGTGCAGAAAAAAGAACCACAACATATCCAATGGCCCCTCTTTTTTTCGGTGAGGTCTTTTAGAATGCGGTCCTGTGGGGTCCTCTATCATGGACCCCATTACAAACCTAATCAGAACGTGGTCGAGGTGAGTGTCAAAGCATTCTCAAATCACATGCCTAATTGGAGTCCATGGAGCAGGGATAATAAGGATTCAGATTAAATTGTATTTAGTATAATTTTTTTAATAATTTATAAATTATAAAATTTTAATTTTAATTTTAATTTTAAATTAATTTTTTAAATTCAATTTGATTTATTTATTAATTTATTTATATATATAAATTTAATAAAAATTTAATATATTTAAATAAATATATATAATAATTCTTTTTTATAAAAATTTAAAAAATATATAAATTAATAAAAATATATAAATCAATTTGATTCAATTTTCTTTTTAATTTTTTACATTTTAATTTAAAATTTTATCTAAACTTATTACATAAATTTAATATATGATTTTAATTTAAATCAAATAAATAAATCGATTCGAATTGAACAATAAATTTTTATTTTAATTTTCAAATTTTTAGATTTATTTTCTTAGACTTTATCCTATCACCATCTTTATTTTATTTTTTGTAATTAGCACTTTAAAAAGGGAAATTTTTTCCTACCTCCAAAAAGATGTTTAAGCAACTTTATTTTTTATTTTAATTTAAAAAAAAAAAAACATTGATGACTTCCAAATAACATAAAATTGGTTGCAATATATCCTTTGTCTTGTAGCACTTAAATCGTAATCAGGCTGACATGGGTAACTTTTTTTTTGGAATCATGTGGTTTTCCAAATGTTTTTAACTTTTAAATTTTTTTCATTATGTTATTATAGTATTTGATTTGAATGGTTCTGATGCTTGGTAAGGATCCAATGCTATTAAATTATTCAATTTTTTTAAGTTATAACCATAATTTAATATTATAATCAATTATTACATTATAATTAAGTTATAATTATTAAATAATAAATTAACAATTTAAAATATAATTAAATAATTAAATTCATTATTTATTTATTTAATATTATTATTATTAAGCCAAAGCCTTGTTGACTTAAGTTAGTCATTTCTTGATCTCTATATGCAAGTTGAAATCAATGACATCAATGGTTAACCTTCTACCAAAACTTCATGATAGTAAAGATTGAATCTAGTGAAAAGAACTACGTGCAAAACACAATAAAATACAAATTTATCATTATATTTATGTGAGTGATTCAAATTTATTATCAATCTTTTAAAATTATTTTTTAAATTATAAAACAGTTTTTATCACTAATTGAAAATTTAGTGATAAATTTGGACTGCTCACATAATGGTAAATGTGTTTTTTTTTTTTTTTTTTTGTAATAATTTTAAATCTTGTTACTTAGTACCAATTGACTTAAGTGAAACATTTCCTTTTTTCACATATATGGTTTATGAAAGTCTTCTTTTTGAAAATTTTTTAGCAATTAATTGCAAATTTTAAAGACTATAATATTTTAAATATATACTAATTTTTCCTACTTATATTACAAACTAATTTGTGATTTGATGTTTCATTTGGGAATTAGCAACATGATTAAATAGGAAATAAAGTTAAACATCAACGAATGCTTCTAAGATGGTCCCATCTCCCATTATAAGAGCTTCTAAATTAAAAAACACTTAAAAGGTCTCAAAGTACTAAGGTTGGGGAGAAAAAAATTGAGAAATTGAAATATCGATTTAAAATTATAGTATTTGATTTTATTTGGATTGATTTTTTTTATTTCGTTCGGATCAAATTCAAATATTAAATACATATATTAGGTTTGAATCAGATTTCAAAAAAATAAAAATAAAATAAAATTGAATTGAATTATATATTTTTCTTAGTTTTTATGTATATTTTATATTTTTATAAAATAAAAATAATAATTTTATATCAAAATTTACTTAATATAAAAATTAAAAAATTAAAAACCAATAAACCAAACTAAATTGAACGGTAAATTTTGATTTGATTTGATTAAAATCGAATAAAAATTAAGTTTGAATTATGATCAAATTTTAAATTTTTATAATATTATGTAATATTCGAAAAAATTAAATCGAATACAATCCAAACTTAACCGTTATCATCCTAGTTTAAATTTCTAGCATACCCTTATGGAAGAATTAAATTATGATTGCTTTAAAGAATGAGAGCTTTCTGTGCTTAATCATGGACACTTACTATAAAATTTGCAAAATAAATCAAGCAGAGGATTGTTTCGACACCAGCCTAGCACTCCAGCTCCATCCTCTATTATTTTTATAACATGCATGGTAATATTTATTTGTCGTAATTTAATGAAATCAATATACATTATTTGAGTGATTGACACTTGACTCAATCCTTTTATTTATATGTATCGATTTTTTTTTACTCATTTTTCAATTTAAAGACATTTTTTACTTGTTCATAATTGCTTTTAATTTTATAATTTTTTGTCTTTACAATTTGGTTGAAAACAGGAGATATATATAACTCAATGAAACCAATTTATACCAATATGTCTTACAATTCACATATGCAATATTAATACAAAGAATATTCCTATAATTGTATTAAAATATAATGCAAAAGTAAAACCCTAGATGATTCCATTAGCATCTGAATTCAAATAAAGCCACTAATTGTTCAAAATCTCTCAAGCTGAAACCCTTACCTTAAAAATAAAAAAAGAATTTTATCTCAAGCACATGATCTGCATTGCAACTTGCAAAGATTAATACTAGTAACATTTTATGGGAATAATTTTGAGTCACAAATACTTTGGTATTTAGGTTCAAAATCACAATGTAAAGTGGTAGGGGAAGGGAAAGGGAAAGGAAAGGAAGGCTTGAAGCTCACAAAAGATGGAAGATGTTGAGATATATATCATTCACAAAAAGATGGTCTCCCATTACCCCCTAAAAGAAAAGGCAATAATGAGAGATGATTTTGGGATGCATAGTGGGAAGGGTTTTCTATCTTCTATTCAACAAGTAACCTTACACCTCCTTTTCCATTATGGAGAATCCTTAAGGATATGTTGATTTTGCTTTGGAAAAAAAAACCCTTTGATTCAATTAATTATCCTTTTTTTTTTCAATCTCCAATATAACATTAATTTATAAATTTTTCTTGTGATTCCTCCATATTTTATATGTGGGATCCTAGTCTTGGTGTTATTTGGTGGACCATTAGGGCTTCCCAGTCACGTTAAGGTCAGATGTTATATGGTGTATGGTTAAAAGGCCTAAAGACTTAAAGGTGTTTGGTATAAATATATATATATATATTTATATCTATTTTTCTGTCCGACTTGAATGATGCAAAGACCAATTCTGATAGTCCACTTGATTCCGAATTTTAAAGCATCATAGTCAAGCACTAGTTGGTAATTAACTTGGAAAAATCATGATGATGTTAACTACAACATTGAATTTGATTATCAATCAGCTTTATGCCCAACATTGAATTTGATTATCAATCAGTTGGTAATTAACTTGCATTCTCTGGGCTTTATGCCCTTTTCCTTGTGCAAAAAGTAAAATCAGAACCTATAATCCAAGCCCAAAATTGAACATACTTCAATCTGCAATATCTAGAAAAGAGCCAGGCCTGGTTCATCTGGTTTTCCAAGATAAGACTTTGGATCTTTTGTTGTGCAAGCCAGAGGCCAGGCCACCATCATCCCAGAGAAGTGAGACAGACTGCAGTCCATACTCCGTATCCACCGCCATATCCTTTGCTGCTGGAACCACGTGGTCGTTGCGGAAATTAAGAAGATGAAGCCACTCATTCAAATTAATCCGCTGCATGCTTGATCCCTGTCCTCTCTGTTGAATTGGAAATTAACCACTTTGTAATTTAGCGGGAAGAGTTCTTCCAAGCTCCTGCCACCTGTTGCATGGGCATGCACGTGTCTTAACAGAATTCCCACGTAACGTAACTTTCTAACCCCCATCACCCACTTTCTTCTATATAAACCAAACTAATTTTGCCTTGGCCAACACTTAACATAGTGTTCAGATTCTCATCTCTTGAAACAATGCTGAAGGGAACCTCGTTTTTCCAATTTTCACTTTTCACAGTTTTTTACATTCTTGCTTCCTTTCCAAGTGTTGAAGCTTCTTTGCATGGAAATGCTTCGGCTTTGGGGTATTTGGTGCCGAAACATGAGAGGAAGCACTTAGTTTTGACAGAATATGGAGAAATCTCAGCTGTTAAAGTCAGTGATGGAAGAAGAGGTTCATACCATCTTCAATTCATCACCATGGAGCCTAACTCCCTTTTTCTTCCAGTTCTGCTACATGCAGACATGGTTTTTTATATCCACACGGGTAACGTGATTTTAATTGCAATTTACAATGGTATAATTAATCATATATACAGTGGCATGAAATATTTCATAGTCTTCACAATTTTTTCCTTGAACCGAGTTTTGGTTTAGGAAGTGGAACGTTGAGTTGGACTGATGATAATGAGATGAGGACGGTGAACATTCGGAAAGGAGATATATATAGGCTGCATCCAGGGTCATTTTTCTATCTACAGAGCAGCTTAGAGCCTGAAAGAGAGAAACTTAGAATTTATGCGATCTTCTCTAGTAAAGAAGAGAACATATATGTATGACATGCTTTCTTTCTTGTTATTTTAATTCTAGTAATTAACTTGACTGCAAAATCTGAAGACTGAGTTTTATGTCTGTACTTTGGTCTGTAAATTTAACAAATGCAGGAGCCATGGATTGGGGCATACTCCAGAATTAGTGATGTGGTCCTTGGCTTTGGTTCCAAAGTCCTCCAAGCAGCTTTTGAGGTATGATTTTAACTTGGATAGTTGGTTAGAAGCTTTCTAATTTGAGATCTTTGTTACCCAATTCCATGAAAGTGGTACTTCAATCATTTAACTACATGCATGTAGTTAAATTTGAAATTGAAAATGGATATTTCAGTTTGACATGAATTACAGAAAAAGAACATGGAGATGATTCTGCTCTATGCCAATTTTCCTGCATAATTCTATATATAATGTGAACTTCTGTCTCAAGGTACCCGAGGATGTGATCGAAGAAATAATGAAAGCTACCAAACCACCTGCAATAATTCATGCAGTACCAAAGAAGAAGAAGATCTTCTTCGAATGGCAAACTCGACTCCTGAAAGCCTTTCTAGGGAGCAACAGGGATGGCTTCGATTCTATCAATGGCAAGAAGAAGAAGAAAACAAAAGCATATAATGTTCTTGAAGCAGATCCAGATTTCAAAAATTGTAACGGCTGGAGCCTAACAGTGGACAAAAATGACTTGCGTTTATTGAGGGATTCCAACATTGGAGTTTTCATGGTGAACTTGACAAAGGTTTGTTTACACAGCTTTTCATATAGAGTTATAGTGCATTTGCTAAAAGTGAAAATTTTTAGTGACACCAATTGAAAAGATTTTATTTGTGTAATTTTCTGAAGGGTTCAATGATGGGGCCACATTGGAATTCAAGAGCTTCAGAGATAGCAGTAGTGTTGGAAGGTCAAGGGATGATTCGGGTGGCTTGTTCGAGCAATGCTAATGAATCTGAGTGCAAAAACTTGAGGTTCAGAGTCAAGGAAGGAGATGTATTTCTTATACCAATGTTCCATGCAATGGCTCAGATATCTTTCAACAATGATTCATTTGTTTTCATGGGGTTCAGCACATCGACAAATAGAAACTATCCTCAATTTCTAGCAGGGAAGAGCTCTGTCCTAGGGTTCCTGGATAGACAGATCTTGGCTGTGTCATTCAATGTCAGTAACACAACAATTGATCAGCTTTTAACTCCACAGAAAGACTCAGTCATATTTGATTGTACTTCTTGTGCTGAGGAAGAGGAAAGCATAATGGAGGAGGAAATTGAAAGGGAAAGAGAGGAAGAGGAAGAAGCCAGGAAGAAAGAGGAGGAAGATGACAGAAAGAGGAAGGAAGAAGAAGAAGCCAGGAAGAAAGAGGAGGAAGAGGCCAGAAAGAGAGAGGAAGAGGAGGCCAGAAAGAGGAAGGAAGAGGACGAAGCCAGGAAGAAACAGGAGGAAGAAGCCAGAAAGAGAGAGGAAGAGGAAGAAGCCAAGAAGAGGGAGGAGGAGGAGGAAGAAGCCCGGAAGAAAGAGGAGGGAGAAGCCAGAAAGAGAGAGGAAGAGAAAGAAGCCAGGAGGAAAGAGGAGGAAGCAGCCAGAAAGAGAGAGGAAGAGGAAGAAGCCAAGAAGAGGGAGGAGGAAGAAAAGAAGAGAAGAGAAGAAGAAGCAAGGAAAGAGCAAGAGGAAGCCCGGAGACAGGAAGAAGAAAGGCAAAGGAGGGCGAGACAGGAAGAAGAAGAAAGGAAACGACAAGAAGAGAAGGAGAAAGAAAGACGAAGGAAGGAAGAACAAGAGCAAGAAGAACCCAAAAGAAGGAAAGGAGGACAAGGTCGAGAAGAAGCTGCAGCTAGGAAGCAGGCCAAGAGACAGGAGCAAGAAAGACAAAGAAGAGCAGAACAAGAAGAAGAGGAGGCCAGGTGGGAGAGGTAGAAGCAAGGAGGGCAACAAGAGAAAAGAGAAACAGAAGAAGAAGGCAATGACGAGGGCCAAAGAAGAGTTCCGAAGAAAGTGTGGGAGATTTAACTTTAATCCATCCCTTGTTGGATTTTCTAGTGCTTGGTTTTTGCATGAGTAGTGAATAAAGGACTCTCCTGCTATGCTATCTTGAGTTTAGGCAATTAGGTTCCATGTTTAAGTTTGATGTAAAAAAGCTTTATGATCTCTGTTCTCTGGATGCTGATCTTCAATAAGCTCTTTCGTTTTCTTTCACCAATGACTGAACTAAGCTCTTTCCATTTTTTTACTCCAAATGACAGGGTTGAGACAGCCATTTCGGCCCTGCTTTTCTTTATAAACCATCCTGACTATGATATAAGATCCTCAAGCTAACAATTAGAAAATTTTCACCAAGCTGTTTATTTCTTGGTTTATTCAAACTTCCCAGCAATTGTTAGGATTATTTGTCATGCTATATAATCATTAATCTATGGAAGTTGTTTGAACTAACGAAGCAAGGATCAAAATTTGTAAATGAAAAGGAATATTGAAAAGCAAATAAGAATATTTCTTTCATTAGGTTTCATGGCCAAAAACTGAACTAATGTGCTTTCCAACACTACAACCCACCTGTGGCAAACTTGCAGAAGACTCGCACATTGGCAGAGCTAGTTATATAAGACACAACAACAGTGATATCGTCAAGCTTGCCACCATAATAGTGAAACTCAGCATCTTGAGCAGCATTAGGAAATGGTGTCTGACTGTTTACCGGTCCTTATCCACCGCTCGTTCACGAGCCCAAGATGCTATCTGCTTATCCATTCAGAAGTTTGAAAAACCCATTAAAGTTTAAGCTCATTGTGATTGTCTCTTAAAATTGGGTTTTGTTTTGGCCCATTTAATGAAACCAAAAGTGGGCCTTTCCAATATGTTATCAGAAGGGAAAAGAACAAAGAAGAAAACCATGAAACACTGTCTAAACAGATTTAGTGTTTTGACATCAACTAGACATTTCCAATCCTTCTACTGATTTTGAAAGTTTTTATAACATCTTGTCTTGTCTATTCAGGTCAAGGAAAACAAGATAAACGTCTTATATGATTGGCTTTAAATCTGAATTATCACTGCAATTGTCTGCCAACAATCCTCAGAATGACGTGACTTATTACCAACTAATCAAACTACTAGATGCATAGAACCAGACACAGATATGGTACAAAAAGGAAAACCCAACACGGATTTACAGACTAGAAATTTATTAACAGATTGGAAGATCAGGAGGTGGAGGTGGTAAAGTTTGCATTTGGCCTTTTCCATTCTTCACTAGAAAAGCCACAGACAGTCCCAATATAGTGTGCACATCCAGATATCCCCATGTAGGATGGGTTCACAAGGTATCATCGACCTTTTGAAAGATGACTTTCGAGCTAATTTGTTTACTTCCATTTCGGCTGGTGCATTTGACATTGTGAAACTGAGAATTGCATAAGATGTTTTATTCAAGAAATTAGGAACATTTTTTGCTCGCATGTGAGGGGCCATGGCCGCGAATTTTTTTTCCAATGGGCTGATCTGCTTTAATCAGAAGTGAGACTGAAGGCTTTTGTGTACGCCGCATCCGTTTCTACAACAGTCATGGTATGGTTAGCCACCCTGAAAAAGTGTTCCATGTGAAGAGCTGCATTAATGATTCTGAGAAGATACTTCTAACTTCTTCCCCAACATTAATAGTGTATAAATCTGCACAAAATTAAATGAAAGGAACCCCGACATCAATATTTTAACAGCAATGAAATTAAGATATACTTGTTTGTTCAGTGAATTTAAAGTTGGTGTACCGTCTCCAAAGCAGTTATGGAGGGGACCAGGATGACCATTCAAAATATAGGCATCTAAGCCTTGGGAACCTCCTGATTCTTTCACATGTCTTTTCAAATCCTGGATGTCTCGAAGCTAATACTCTCCTGTCGAAACAACAACCCAAAAAAAGCATGGAAAATTTCTGATACATATTGATAAACCCTTGTAGACTAAAGGAAGCTTGGTAAATAAGAAACGAGCAAAGAAGTAGAAGTTAAATACCTAGTACAATCACATGCTCTTCAAGGGAAGGCTCAAACGTGTAGCTAACACCTTGCCTGGGGTAGGTAATGAGAGGACCATGGACTGTTGCTCTTATCTTAGCCATGATCTGTGAGCATGCCAGAAGAGTGTGCCTCACCGGTTGAGCAAGGTAAAGCAGCAAGTTAGACTTTGGTGAACTCCATGCCTTTGATCAGAAACCAAATCAACCGATATTACTGATACGCTTAGTAGCAATATGGTGTGCAAGAAGAAAAAATGAAGGAAATTTACTAATTTTCTTACCAGTGGATTGAAATGTTGTATGGAGTAAGATTGGTGCCTTGACAACCACTCTATCGTCTTCCTGAACATAAATCGTAGGTCCAGGATACATCTCATTTACAGTGACAAGTGACAACAGTTGATGTCTTGTACAGTTGTGTACTTGAGGCTGTTTGAACTTGTTAATTCACAGAGATATATGTTTAGTCCAATCTGTAGGACAATTCAAAACTCAAAAAAATGTTGAAATTGAAGATTATGAGTGACACTAAACAAAAAATTTGTCCAGAAAGACTGCCATTGCTACTGACATCTGATTACTGATATATAATTTTCTTTAAATCTTTAAATCTCTGGGACCGGGGCCCTGCTTAATGGATCAAGTTGACATTAATACTGTCTTGCAACTGCACAAGGGGCAAGCATCAATGCCTCATTATCCACAAGGACTTGGCTTTTGCCCCTGTTAATGTTCAATATCAAGCTATTAACACAGGAATGCATTAAGCATCCCCTTTCTTGTAACACTCCCTTTAGGCCATGCTTCAAGAACACCTCCATTAATGGAGAAGATAAGGAGAGACAACAAAAAACCTGCAGCATCTTTTTGGACGTGTCCCTGCACAAAAAAAGCCTGGGGACCAATTTATGTGAACACCATGGTCACTAAAATCCATGTTTGGAGCAGCAGAGAAAAACGAATGGCAACATTCTTGATAGTAGGAGACAAGTCGTTTTGTATATCCTAGACTTTTTTCAGTGCTTTGGCACTTGAATGGAAAGCTGATGAGTTAAACCTAATCAAGTGTCTGTTCTAAAACCTGACAGATGCTTGTGATAAAGTTTTCATATTCAAATGAATTTGTAAATGCAGAGAAAAAGACATTGCTGATTGTATCAATCTTATCCTGCCCTTCAATCAGAAGCAGTACAAGAACGTGGGGTTCATTGTTTTGGAGATTGAATATTATACATCTTCAACCAACATATATTTAAAAGAAAGTGCAACACAATTTGATAATTTCTTAAATATGGCGTGTGTTATACTTTGTCTAATCATCAAAGCTCACAGATTATTATATTACTTGTACTTAACTACTACTAAGATTAAATTATTAACAATTCATCAAATTGCAGTGAATCAAACAATGGAAACAAACGTGCAGAAGAAATCAAAGACAAAATCAGATTTGGACTTTGGAAAATGAAATCAAGGGGCCATGCCTTTCTCGTCAACCGACCACTTGGCATTTAAAAGTCCTGGCTGGAAAGGATCATTGAGATGACATTTTCATGGGGTCAGGACTTTAGATGACTTGAGAAATCAAGGAGGGGACCCCAATAATATCTTCATTTAATTTTCCTATCTCCATTTTTGTGCATGAAAATTACTCTACATTGCAGAGTTATTGTTCTCTTTTTTTGTGGTCCAATGGATTCTGCAGTCATCATTGACTCATTCTCTCTCACTAATGCATTGATAATTCGATTTTAATTGAATTAATTCATCAAATTAATTTAATTTAATTAATGCATAGATTATCAAATTAATTTAAGCTAATTAATAAAAATGATTGATTTTCGATTAATTTAATTTGAAAATCGAATTAATAGAAATTTTAATTGAAATATATATATATTCCAAATGTAAAATGAAAAATACCTAAAATTGATCATTTTATTTTATAAATTGTTAAAATTTTTAACATAATATTTTGATATTTGAATATTTTATTGCATTTTTTAAAATATGAGAAATTATGAGTTTAAAATATAATTTAAATTAAACGTATTTATTATTTAGTTAATAAAAAAAATTAACTAAATTAATTGAATTAAATTCAGTTGATTAATAAATTCAATTCTGTTAACAAAAATAAATTAATACAATTCAATTAATTTGATTTTAGATAATTCGATTCGATTTTAAATAATTCGATTTGAAATTAATTAAACTGATGATATATCTATGATTAATGAAAATAAATTAATATAATTCAATTAATTCGATTTTAGATAATTTGATTTGATTTTGAAAAATTCGATTTGAAATTAATCATACAGACAATATATCAACCCTTACTGCATTACGTTCAACAAGAAACTCAGGCAGAATTTGAGTTCATTCCCACAATCCCATTTCCAAAGTTTCCCTTTCTTCCATTGATGGAATTGTGAGACAGTTTTACTAGAAGTGTCCAGGCACAGTTTTGTAAGCTTAGAAAGAATGAAAAACAAAATAAACAAAACAAATTTAAATTAATTGAAAATATAAATAACAGAATGGTTTGGTTCAAACAAAGTGGAACCTTAATCCAAGCCAATTGATCAGAATCAACCAAATTCCTTCCATTTTCAGCAATTTGCCAGTCCAGGTTGGTATTCCACTTTACTGCTAATTTTCCACTACATATCCGTCTATGCCTGCGGCTACAAATCTAAATAGCCAAAATACATCCCCACCTGCTGTTTTCCTATGTTTCCAAGATTGAAAAACCTGACACAAAGAACGTCAGAATGCCTCCACTAACCAAATCTCTTGACAGAGATGTTACTGTTCGTTTTTTTTTTCAGATAGAGCAACCTTACACATCCAATGTCCTAATACATCTGATATTTGAGTTTACCTTATTCTACAAAGGCTATACTGCCACAACAAAGTCATTTTCGCCATTGTCAAGTGGAAGGCAGCAGAACAAATTATATATAACCATCGTTTTCTTCTGCAACCCCAAATAGTTCTATACCAGATGGTGCTGTACAAGGCATATTTTCCCCAAAGTCAAATGGAGAAGACTAGTTCTTATTTCTCCCAAGTCATGAGCTCCTTCCAATGTCCTTGCTGGTAAAATCTCCACCTCCAAAAGATGTTGCTGCTGCAGCAAAATCAAGTCCACCTCCAATGGAGGTCATTAGAGCTGACAGGCCACCATTGGGGCTGCCACCAGCAGCCACTCCCAACCCAAGAAAATCGAGAGTAGCTTGCTTAGGACCAAATACAGGAGTTCCCATCATCAATTCCTTTAATCCTGAACTTCCATCACAAGGAAGCCCAAGTCCAAGTCCTACTGCAACAGAGGCATTGTCAGGCTCAACTTGTCTCTGACCCCATTGCAAATTATGTTGCTGTGCAGAAGATGAAGATGATGATACTAAACCCAAACCACGAAGCAAGGATGCATTAGTTGCTGCTGCTCCCATCTGTGCAGCTTTCTGCAATAGTGCTGTGGCAGACATAGTAGGTTGTGGCGGTGGTGCATACTGCCTGCGCTCTTGCCCTGCAGTTCCAAATATTGATGAGCCATGGCTGGTTGAAAGGCATAGAGAAATTGGTTCGGTAGAAGTAGATGGAGCAAGGCCAGCTGAACAATCTGGTCCACCCATAGCTCGAATTAAGTCGGTGAAAGCTGGAGATTGTGGAGGTTGTAAGCTCGCAGATGCAGTTGAGGATGCGAATAAGCTAGCAAATACACTGCTGCTGCTGTTACCATTGCTAACTGAGCTGGTGCTACTGCTACAATTTCCATTTACACCAACTGGTGCCGGAGCTGGAGCTTCTTCCACAATAGGAGTGGGATTTTCAGGCAATTCTATAACAAGAAGCGATACAGAAGGCAGATAGAAAATTAGGGGACCTGACTTAAAAGTCTAAAACATAGAGGCATGGAAAGTTAAATGACTTATCTTTATCAAAGAACTTTGGAGCAAAAAGCAGAATCAATAATGGTTTCCTTTCTCTAAATCCACTTCTCTTTTCTTTTAGCTTTTGAATCACTTCGGTCATTTATCAAGATTGCACAAATTGAATCTCACAGTTTAGAAAATGGGTTTATTTTCCTTCTATCCTTCCCCTCCTAAATCTCAGTCTCACCAGCCCAGTTTCTAAAACCTCCAGTAAACAACAAAGACCAGTAACAGACAAAAAAACTACTATGCTACAAGATTCATCCAGAGACATAATAACAACAAAAAACTTTGTCTTCGTTTTATTTAAACAAAATCAGAACGGACAACATTTAAACTACAAGATCGAAAATTTCCAAATTTGGTAATATATAAAACTTACCAGAACTTTGAATTGGCAAAACTGAAGAAGATACAACACTAGTTGACTGAGGCAGAGCTGGTGCAGCTGGAGTTGGAGTTGGAGCTGGAGCTGGAGCTTGCACTGGTGGTGGTGATGGTGCCGATGCCGTCAAAGGTGGTGGTGATGAATCCACAGCCTGAACTTTCAGGTCGGAGTCCGAATTGGCATTCGCCACAGCCTGATTCTGATTCTGAGGCTGAGGTTGTGTTTGAGCTCTAGCACTCTCCTCTGCTAACGCATCACAGAAAGCCCTATGGTTAATAAAACTATCCCTCCTGCAAAAAACAAAATTAACAATCAATCCCACAAAAGATCCAAAATTTTCCAATACAAATCGAATATGTAGATTGTTTTGAATACCTGGAAAACAGTGTTCCACAATCACATTTGTACTCTCGAGTACCACAAATCTTAGAGTGAGCTTTCCAATCAGATTGAACAGCGTATTTTTTGGAACATTTGTCGCATTTCCACTTTTTTTCTCCATGTTTTCTACAGAAATGTTTCTTAATTCCCGTAAGATCGCCTAAAGCTCTCGATGGATCGTGATGGACGCATGTGGACTCAGGACAAACATAAACTCTCTTCTTCACTTCCTTACTCGTTCTCTGCCTCAGCTTCCATGGTAAATTATGGCCTCGTCTATGAAGCTGAAGATTTTGGTCCCTTTGAAACCCTTTATTGCAAATTTCACAAATAAATCGGTTCGTGGCTAGAAGAGTCTTCGGAGATAAAGCAATCACCTCTGCATCTGGATCTGCAGCAACCCCAAAAAAAATTGTAATTGATAACAAAATAAGAAACCAAAAATAGAAAATAGGACAAAGCTTGGCAGTTTATTGACTATTGGATAGTTACTTTACTGTACCTGGCATTCCAGGAAGGTTACGCTTCTTCTTGACGGTGGATTTCGGAGGCGGGTTTTCGTTACCGGTGGAAGAGACGCTAGCTTCACCGGAAGCAGCGGAGGAATTATCCAAGTCAGCCGGCATGACTCTAAAAACTCTTTGAATCAAACTACTAGACAAAAAAAAAGTGAAAACTCTAGAGCATTTATTTCTGCTTCTTCTTCAAGGGCTTTGTTTTAAGGTCTTTTCTCTTTTATCTACCAGTCAATCTTCTTTTCTTTTCTTTCTTTTTGCCCTTTAGGCCACTTACCAGCTCTCTTCTAAGTTTCTGACCAAAATTCACATTACCCAAAGAAGCAAAATGATTAAACCCAAACACTAAAAACCAGCTCTTTCAACTCTAAAGCTTTAAAAGTTCAATCCCCAAAAAAATAATCAAAACCCAGAAAGCAAATCCAATCAATAACCCCAGCAGCTGAAAGATCCAACGGTCAAAGCTGAATCAAAGAACATACCAATCTCAAACTACACCAAATATCTTAATAAAACAGAGAAAGAGGATCAGATATGGATAACTTCAGGTGAAAGTTTTTAGAGAAAAGAAACAGAAATAAAAGAGAGAGAGAGAAACCTTGCCAAAAGTTCTTTGGTCTAATTATTCTTCCTGGCTTCCTTTCCAGAAGAGATAAAAAAGAACAAATAACGTTAAAGTGGTACTATTTTTCATGTAATAAATATTTAATTTTATATAATTTTATATTTAAATTACATTCATCGTTAATTAATTTTAAATTTATGCTTAATATAATATTAAAGTCAAAATATTTTTTATTTTTTTTAATTTATCACATGATAATTTATTTATTTTAAATTATATATTTAACATGATATTAAAATTAATTTTTTTTATATTACTCTTTTTAAAATTTATCATTATGTTACTTTTTTTAAATTTATTATGTCAATAAATTTTAAATTAAATATTTAATATGATATTTTAAATAAATTTTTTTTGTTATTTTTTTCTAAATCTATCCTTTTCTCTTTCTAAATTTATCTTTCTATTATTATTCTTAAATTTATCACATAATAGTCAATTGATTTTAAATTATATATTTAATATGATAATAGAATCAAAATTTTTTTATTTTTTTTAAATTTATTACGTAATAATTTTTTTTAAAATTTTTACCAATATATGATAAAAATTTATTAAAATAAAAGTATTTTATATTTAATAAATATTTAATATTTTATAATTTTATATTTAAATTAAATCTTTCACTTGTTATTAATTAATTTTAAGATAAATATTTAACAAATAAAATAAAAAATTATTTAAATATTAGTGTTAAGGGTGATTTGATTATGTTAATTTAATTAATACATTGTTTAAGAACAAATAAGAGTTTGGGATTTTCTTTTACCGTTCGCTCGTGGTTTTTGAGCAAGCTGTCGGGGGCCTGCTGTTTTGTCGTGTAGTGAAGTTGTCTGAGTTTCTTTCGGACAAGAGCTGAATGGCTGGTCGCCGGTGTTGCTTTAAATTCATAAAAAGTCAAGCTACTTTTGTCATTGATTGGAACTTTTTACTACTTTAGCCAATTCAATTTTGACACGTGTTTTGGACAACTAGGACAGAATTTGTTTGATTGTTGCTCTTTTTACATTGTTTTTCGTTTTCCTACTTAGAAGAGCACCCTGTCCTGAAATGGCAACAATTTTTTTGATAATTATATGGACATTTTTTCTTTTATTTCATATTTTTTATATTTAATATATTATTCATATGTAAATTTTATATACTTTTATTAAATTAGATGGTATTATTTTATTAATAAAATGAATAAAATGATAAAATGGGTTAATGAATAAACTTTTTTAAAATTTATTTTTTTATGTATTTATTTAATAATTAATATTTATTTATTAATAAAATAAATTTATATTCGATGATAATATATAAACTTTATATATTAATAATACATAAAATATAAATTCGTTTTTTTTTTTCCCTTTTAAGATGGATAAAGGAGAATATATGTGAGGAATTGATTAATATTCATCTTTCTCCTTTTAATTTTTTTCTTCAAGAATTATTTTCAAATCTAGAAAGGATAAAAATAAGGCCTTACACTTCAAATAAGATTGTGGTCAAATAAAATTACATATTGAAAAAAGAAAAAATGATAAAAATTTTATTATAATGACTTGTATTTTATAATGAGGTTTAAAACTTTTTTATTCAAAGGTAAACTTTTATAAAATAGAAAATATAATAAATATAAATAATGACTAAATCAATTTTTATAATCACTTAATCAATATCTAAATCAATATTTAATATTCTCTAAATCAAAATTAAATCAATCTAAAATATTATTAGAATATTATTATCAATTTAAAATATTATCAGAATATTTATTACTAGAATATCATTGACACCCTCTCGTAAATTGAAGATGGGAATGTAGAGACCAATTTGAGTTTGGAAACTTGGACAATAAATTGACCAGGTGGATGTGATTTGGTGAATATATCTATTTTTTATCAACACTAGTAACAGAAACAAGTTAAAGAGTTTGAGCAAGTAGATTGTGACGAATGAAGTGACAGTCAATTTCAATATATTTAGTATGCTAATGAAAAACATTATTGTAAATTATTTGAATGGCACTTTGATTGTCACAAAATATAGAAGTATTAGAGTGATGGGAAATACTCATATCTTGAAGTAGCCATTGTAATCATAAAAGTTATAATGTGACATCTGTAAGAGCTCGATACTCAACTTCAGTGCTAGAGCGAGACACCATAGTTTATTTTTTACTTTGTCAAAAAATAAGAGATGAACCAAGAAAGAAATAATAGCACATGATAGAATGATGATCAATAAGATATCCTACCCAATCAGCATCACAACAACAATGCAAATCCAAAAAGAAACTAGAGACAAAATGCAAACCATGGAACATAATACCCTTAACATATCGTAGGATCTGGAGGACAATGACAAAATGAATAGTCGAGGAATAGATAGAAATTGACTAATCAGGTGAACAACATAGGCAATATTTGGACGAGTAACTATTTAGTAATACCAGACTACCCACCAGAGTTTAATACAAAGAATAGTCTGAAAGTAGTGTACCATCAGAAGAAGAAAGCTTCAAATTCTGTTCAAGTGGTGATAATGCAATCTTACTATCAGTTAAACCTGCTCAAAAAATAAGATTAGAAGCATACTTTGTTTAAGACAATTATAAACCAGTAGAATCATTAATGACTTTTAAGACCCAAAAATAACTCAAAGGATCAAGGTCTATCATCTCATATTTAGAATGAAAAAAAGTTTTCAGATCTTGAATACCATTTATGTCATTACCCGTAATGATCATGTTTTTCACATAAAGTAAGAGAAGAGTAATACCATTTTTAGTAGTTTGAGTAAAAAAGGCAAAATCATGTTTACTAGATATAAAATCAAGTTGAAAAACAGTAGTACTAAACTTCGAGAACTAAGCTATAAGGGCTTGCTTAAAACCATATAAAGCACATCGAAAATGATAGACCATGTTAGAAAGTACGGATGAACCAGGAAATGGTTTCATATAGACTTTATCGACGAAATCACCATTTAATAAGGCATTTTTAATGTCCATTTGAAAGGTTGGTCACTTTCTAACTATAGCATCAGCTAATAATGAATGAACAAATGTGAAACGTGCAACTAGGGCACAAGTCTCTTCATAGCTAATGCCATATTCTTATGTAATCTTCAAGCAACAAGACAAATTTTGTAATGTTCCACTAACCCATCAGATCTAGTATTGATCTTGTAGACCTACTTACAATCAATCGTTGACTTATTAAAAGATCGTTCAACAATATTCTAAGTATGAGTTTTCTCAAGAGCTTGAAGCTCCTCTACCATTGGTTGCTACCATATAGGATTAGAGACAACTTCACAAAAATTGAAAGGTTCATGTAACATGACTAAAGCATAATAACAATGAAAATCATGAAGTTGAGTATTGGATTCCCTTACTCGGGTAAAATGATGAAATGGAAGCGATATGTATGGGGAAATGACAATTGTATTAATAAAAGCATCAGTTAGATCAGACATAGTAGGAGTAGAACAAATTGATTATTCCAAAGTGATTCACCTTCGAAATGAATCATAAAATAGCTTTGATACTATGAAAAAGAGAAAATAATAAAAACTTTATTATAATGATTTGTGTTTTACAATAAGGCTTAAAGCTTATTTATACAAAGGTAAACTATTACAAAAATAAAAAATACAATAACTATAAATAATGACTAATTCTATAATCACCTAATCAATATATAATATTCTCTAAATTAATATCAAATCAATCTAAAATATTACTGAAATATTATTAAAATAATATCATCAATCTAAAATATTACTATAATATTATTGACACACATCAACAGTCTTATAATTTGTTAGAAGAATGTTAAATTTTAAATAATAATAACAATTTAATTTTTAATAATTTTAAATATAAAAAATAAATAATGTTGATAATAATGTTAAATTTCTTCCACTAATGAGTACATCACGTTATCGGTATTTATAATTACATATCAAGAATATTAATCTTAATTTTTTTTTTTTGGTTATTTATACTATTCACATATATTATATATGTGTGTATGTGCGAGAATGATTCTTTTACAAAATACGTTTCAATTTCAAAATCAAAACTTTTGATAAGTTTATACAAGTAAAAAAGGTATTGTTTTATCAAGTAGTAGTATCTTTTTTACATTTGATTCTTGTTTTAGTTTAAAGATAATGACTATGAAGTTTTGAGTTTCAACTTTCAAGTAGCAGCTTAGAGAAATACAACCAAAAGACCAGCATGTTTTTTTTTTTTTTTTTTTTGCACACTCCATCATGACTCTCATTGTGTTGGGTGCTTTTTATTTTATTTCTTTTCCAGTTCAAACCCTTCATTATTCTAGGCATTGATATGATAATGGGGTCTCCACAATGTTAATGTTTTTTTTCTTTTTTTCGCATTTTAGAGTTAGCAAAGTCATTTAAATTTGATCATTTATATATTCGTATCGTAAAAAAATATTAAAATTTATATATTTATATTATATTTTATGTAAAAATTATATATCATAATTCGTATTAATATAAAAATATAAAATTTATTTTTTATTTTATTAAATTTTATTAATTATTATTAAAATTTTAAACCATGTGATTTTTATATTTTATTTTTATATCATATTTGAAATTGTTAAGTTTGAATCCACTTTACCATAGCCCAAAGTCGGCCCCTCGCCTCTCTTCTACAATCAGTTAAGTTCCAGGTTGGGATATACATTCTACAAGGTAAATCTTCCATGATTGGATCAATCGAGGAGAGAAGAGAAAAACAAGCATCCAATTAAAAAGATTGCTGCCTTGGGATACTTGCCAGTACATCCTCAACAAGATAATTAATGATTGAAATTTGCGTTTTACTTTCAAATCTGTACTCAAAAGCTTGTTTGACTGGAGATTCATTAAAATTATCAGCACCCTAAAGCTAAACGCTTTCAGATAACTAGAGAAGAAATGGAGCAAAAGAGTCTGCTTTACATCTGGTTTCCAAGCATGCTGGCTCTTCCCTGTTTAGTGTTTATAGTGTTTAATCCCATCATGTTGCTGTGAGTT